CTCTCCGGCCACAGGAGTCGACGAATGTGTTGAGGGTGAATCCCGCGCGGAATCGCTTCCAGAGGGTGCTTGACGCGAGGGATAATTCCGGACGGAAAGGTTCCGGGCGGAAATCTGGAGGCGTCCCCTGACAATGGCACTCTCACCTGGGAGAGTGCTTCTAGCACCAGTATTCACTGGTGCGCTCATCTCTATATCAGAGACTCCACGCAGTGGTTCCTCATCATAAGGAAGTGCAGGCTCACGCAATTGGCTGTATGCATCTAATTCAGCATCCAATTGTTGCCGGCTAGATTCTCCAGTTTTAGTCGGCTGTAGGGCATGAGCTGAGTGTTTTGACTGAATGGAACCAGTCAAAGGTTTCTTGCCCTTATTAGGGGCAGGAGCACATTAATGTATCTGCATATATGCAGTGCATTCTGAGCCAGTGGCGCTATAAGGCTGCTTCTCCCCATCCTTTCCATGTAAGGGATGATTTGAGTATAAATTTGTTCTCTGGATAGAGAACAATGGTTAAGGATCAGAGCAAGAAACTCTGCTCCTGTAGGCAATTTCACAGATTCTGGGATCTGTGAATCATTTTTATGTCCCTTTTTTATTTGGGATCCAACCCTTAATGGGGTTGATGAGTCCATTATCCACCTGGTAGTCTGGTGGTGCGGAATGAGTGAATTTGTGTCAAAATTGATATAGCTTGCAAATACAGCTTTCATCCTATGTAGGAAAGCTGGTTGGGGAAGATCTGCAGCTATCTTCGATAGCCACACGGTGACGTCTAGGTCTTCTTTGAGGAAATAGCCTTTGTAATCGTCCCTAACTGCATTAGGGACACTCATAGGGTTGGTATACCAACCCTCCAAGATATTCCACATATGGAGCGACCAATGATTTAGTCGCTCATCAGGCTTCAGAACTTTATTTCTGAAGCTTGAGCTCTTGTCAAGTTTACGAGCGCGTTTTCCAGAGTAAGTCCATTTTTCAGGACTTGCTAGTGGATGGGGATTGACAATGGATGAAACAGCATCAATAGGGGAAATGAGCATTAATGAATGCTCACTTGAAGTATTATGGATATGGAGACTCGCAAGCTGAGTCTCCAGTGTCTGGATCTTCTCTTGAAGATCATCTATTTCCCCTTGAAGTCGACGATTGTCTGACCTCTCTTGGAATAGTTCATCTTCGAAAGAATTGTGCTCATCACCCATTTTGGTGATGAAGGCCCCAACATGAGACCACGCATCATTGATGCAATCTAGAATCTCATCTCTAGAGAATGAGAATTTAGTAGAACATTGTGCCACGTCCTCCAATAGATGCTCTACATATGTTGAGCATTGCTTGCACCCTGTCAGGTGGTAAACGAAGCAGGCACCTTTCACGGTGCCTACCTCTACGTGAGGTCCATCATGTTTCACTTGTTGATCGCAAAACCGCGACAGGAGTTCAGCAGCATTGCTGCTGCTGCTAGGGGAGGGACTCATGGCTGAGTCTCTTTGTCTTAGGGTAGTGATCAGGGTCACTACCTGCGAGTGGTTTGTGTCTAAGTTGTAGACACCAGGCACACGTGGGCAGAGTCTATTTATTCTCTGCCACAGCCTGAGACTGGCTGGCACTGATCGCATCAGTGATTATGAGGATCCACGTTCCTCTGATTAAACTAATTATAGTTTAATCTTATCTCTGGCGACTCATATGATGAGTCGTTCTATTATTAACAATATGTTAATAAATGTGCATATATGTGCAATAATACCTTATTATTAAGGTATTATTGCTTTATATTATTATTATAAATAATAGACACAGTACTTAAGCTCTGTGCTACTCTAAATATAGTTCTAGAGCCACATATATATGCATATATGCTGATTAATTCCTCTTTTTGGTGGAATTTGTTGTTCTACTTCCTAATTTAGGAAGAGCACATTGGCGCTTAACACCCCATAGCTCTAAATATCTATCTAGAGCTTCTAATTCCTTTCCACCTGAGAGTGGCTCCCAGGTAATGTCTCCTAGAGTCCATTGGACTCTGAATTGCAATCCTTCATTGGTCCATTCATGGCCAATGATCTCATAAATGAACCATTCTTGTTCATCATCCTTACCAAAGTCATAGAAAGCTTTGGTTTCACGGTTCGGGAACCGTGTATCATTATTAGGTATATATGGCCTAATAAGACTATTGTGAAAGGTTGTATGGATCTTTCTGGCTTTGAGCTCCTCTGGGAGTTCAAGCACGACATTGGAGCTCTCATTTTGAGCTTCCAGGACTTTATAAGGTCCTATAAACTTTGGTAAAAGTTTACGAGCCTGACCCTTTGGTAGGTTCAGGTTTTTGGTACTTAAATATACCAAATCACCAGGGGAATATTCTTCTCCTGGTCTATGCTTCTTATTTGCATTAATTGTTTGTCTAATGTGACTCTCTATAATGGCATCATGTATAGCCATTATATTCCATTTTGCTTGTTCAGCAGATTGTTTAATACCTTTATATTTGGTATTAAAATCAGTGGGTAGATTTATATGCAGCATATCCGTATATAGTTTCAAAGGGAGCATATCCCATTGATTCACTAGTACTACTGTTTATAGCAAATTCTACCATTGGACAACATTCTGCCCAATCACACTGATCATTAGCAACTATTGTTCTTAGTATTTGCCCAATCAAACGATTTGCTCGTTCTGTTGCTCTATCTGTTTGAGGATGGAACAAAGTCGACATTAATAGTTTGGTACCTATTAATCGCTGTAATTCACTCCAAAATATAGAAGTGAATTTAGAGTCACGATGTTAAGCCCCATGCTTAAGTGTCACAACACATGACTTCGTTTAACCTCTACGAAGCTTCGGAGAAGGTCACATACCTTCAGAGAGCTTCGTTTGGACTTCGTTTGACTTCCCATCTTACTTCATTCGACTTCACTTCTCACCTCGTCTTCATGTTCGCACAACAAACCCTTTGCCCACATCCCGACTTCTTTCTTGATCTCGAGGGCAATGCCTTTGCCCACCTACTTCCTTCTATCACACTATTTGCTCCATGATTCCATAAGACTATTATTAGTCTTCCCCGGACTTGGCACAATTGGACTTCAATACTACTTCTATTCTGACAGATGACACTTCGTCATGCCCGTTCCTATTTCGTTTGTATTGTTTTCGTTCGCTTATCTTTTCTTATGGCATATTTCGCTTATTTGTTCTCATGACATATCCTCCATTCGCTTATATTCATATTGCATATTTGTCCGTCATACCTTTTCGGTCATTCACATTATTCGTTTAATGATTCCCCCAAACCTTTGCTATTCGACGATACGCAAATACCCATTGTTCTATCACATTATGTCATGCTCTGTTCCGCATTTGACTTATTGTTTGTAAGACTTCCTTCCGCTTTCATCCATGAACTTATAGTATATAAGTACATGTATCTTAGCTAGTTTTCTCCAGTCGGAAATTAGACCCTACCTTACGTCTTAGCCCATTAAGCCTTATAGACCTTAGTGTATATCATTCCTATAACTCGAGCCTAGTGCTCATTCCTTCTATATACTTCAGACCTCTATTACCTCTGAACCAAATACAACCTTCAGAGATCAACTCCGAACTTCACCTTGAACCTTTGATCTTACTCCGAAGTCCTACCTTCGTTCGGGACTTCTTTCGGACTTTGTTTGAACACTTCGTTCAGAACTTCGGTATTTGAATCTGCTTTTATATTGTTGGTTCTGATCTGTTCCAAATTAAGGACATGTACAGTTCGAGACAGCGCAACCCATGACGTTGAAGCCAAGTCCTTTGGTTCTAACCCTTCGTTCTTTAGTGTGACTTCATTCGTTACTTCGGTCACACTTTGGAACCCTTCGTTAGGATCAGC